ATTTTGTTACGATATATTTATTATTACTAACAAACTATACATTTTAAATGATGGAATGTTTTCGTGTCATATACACTTTAATAAGAAGTTAAACGATAATAATATGGCACTATGAACCCATGTAAATCGATCACTATTGGAGTTGTTTCACAATCATTACGGCTTTAAATAACTCGTTTCTACGCTTCGCATATCCACAAGTTAAAAACGATGCCTACAAGCTGGCAAATACTTAATCTCTGTAGTTAAGCGATGTACTTCTTTAATTTTGTCATTATTAATTAGTTCCAGAACATAGCTGAATTAGAATCATTGAGATGCATTAGGAATCCAACCATAATTCTAAGACATGTTCATCAATTAAAACTTATTTCGTGCAATCAAGTCACGCTGTTGTTACGAAGCACTCTCAACACGGCTCGTGATCAACATTTCAGAATGCCTTTATCGGCACGAGAAACCTATAGAAAATTATTAAGATATCATCTTACCATTGAAAGTTTATTTGAATAAGGAGGCTATTAAAGTAGAAGAAACGTTACGAATAAGTCCTGGAATAAGTCAAAAACTTTAGACGCAAACGAGTTGCTGTGACAACGTACCCAGCAGTGGGAAGACTTGCAAAGTGAAAACGGCAAACTACCCAATTTTCGTAAGAAATCTTTGCTGATTTACTAAAATATTTAGCAAAAACACACGTTTCAAAATCATGAATAAGTCAAAAACTTCCTACATCAAAGAACTATTAGGTTACAAGTCTGCGAACTACAACTGCTGAAAACAACTCATTCGTTCGAAAACAACTCATTCATTCGTCCATAGTTTATAATGGTCGTGTCAAAGGTTTTGATTTTTTCGCAATGTTTTTCTTACTTTATTCACCAGCACTCTCTTTCCTTTGTGGTATGTTTTCAGTGTCAAACTTTTTGCAGAAAGGTTTCAGAACTTATGCGTAAGCCAAACAATAATAGGAAAGATCACTAGCGTTCTTACGGCAACTACAGCGTACTAACTTGAATTACGCCAATAATTTATCGGACTTGAAATTTTTTTGTCAATTTTTTTCCTTTTCGTTATTTTTTTGTCGTTCTTGGATTTATACTATGAAATATTGTAAACTAGGGGCATCATGGTTTACGCTGGGGGCGTCATGGTAGTAAAGACTGGGGGCATTATGGTATACGTGGGGGCGTCATGGTATACGTGGGGGCGTCATGGCTGGGGGCGTCATGACCGTTATTCAAAGCATTAGATAATAGAGATTTAATTGAAATAATTTAGTAAAAATAAGTAAATATACCAAATAACTACCACATCCAAAACAAGAATCAAGAGCCATTCTTTTATTTGAAAATTAAATCAAATTAAAAATTAAGTCTGGGTTAAGTTTTTTATTTCTTGTGCACTTTGACTATCATATAAACTGCCAACCGGTTGGCTCAGTTGGTTGAGCATCGGACTTTCATGTGGGTGAGGAGAAAATGCTGCCTTTGTAGTTACATCTGCAAATGGTTAGACCTTCAAGTGGCTTGGATGACCACTTGAAATGGCGGTCCCGTCAGAACTACTGAGGGCGCAAAGAAACCCTGGCAGTGACCACCCTCAGTGCCTACACCTCATACTAACCATCTCTCATTTATAAATCATTGTAAAACGCCTTTGAACATATCCATATGGAAAGGATCAGTGCTGCTATATGAATATCATAATCATCATAATCATAAACAAGAGAAATTGCATAAAGAAGACCAGGCCAGTCCTGCCTTCTAAATAGTTGCACATCATTTTGCTGATCACTGGTTTATACCAGCTGTTCTTATGTCCAGCTGATTGCTTTTTTATCAGGATAAATAAACATGTTATTATTATAGTAATAATATTATAGCTATAATAATAATTATTATCATAATCGTCATCACTAGACACCTGCAGTTCTCTAACACAATCAAGAATGGGTTTTTTTATTTTGGTAGTATTGCAATAGATTACTAGTTTTATTTCTTTCAAACTCATGAATGCTTATTGGAAACCATATTAACTAGACCATGCTTAAAAAGATTCAAATTGAAATATTAGATTTCATATGTTGAATTTTGATGAACATATATTAATTGTTGCAGGATGACTGCAGACACAGATAATCCACTCGTACTTGAGGTTGTTACAGCATCATCAACTGCATATTCTTACTATCCAGATGTAAAAATATCAGAGGTAATTTCTTAGCGGCAACTGCCTTTACCAATAGTATATCCTTCAGTGTCTTAACTGTGGGTTTAAACACCTAGAAATGTTAATTTTGCTTAGTTTCAAAATTACAGCCCTTCCAAATTCCTAAATCTGTTTCCTCTAGTGTTCTCACAGGGGGTGGCAGAGCACCCTAAAAAATGGGGGGGGGGGGGGG